CGATTAACATCATCTAAAAGACAGGTTAGGGTTAAACAACGATGTTTCACTTACTCAGTTTGGGTTATGCTTGGGAGATCGACATGAAAGATATTAATTAAGTTAGAGGACTTATGTGACAGCATATGGGGGAAAAAGTTTATCTAGAGAAGACGAATCAACACAAATATTTACATACAAAGTACAAACTGTCAATTAATAATCACACACATAAACTGAGAAGTGGCAAATAAAAAATAAAAGGACCAATTGGATTCTCTGAGTTTGAGACTGCCTATCTTTCTCGAGTTCCAGAAAAGCAAACTAAGATATAAGAAGGCCATGGTACTAAAACACGATTGCGGTGATTTACTTGACAAGGCTAACTAACATCAAGCAGAACAACTGTAATAACCACAAGCAAAGCATATTTGTGCGAATTGTTTTTACAATATGCTGATGACTTTAAATGAGAGCATTAAGCAGTTATGAGAAAAGCAGGAGATTTTGCTCATTGCAGAAAAAGGCCATGACAGCTCAATGAAATTCCATAGGTCATAAATAACAAGATTGCTTTTAGTTCACGTTGCCTAAGTGAACATAAAAGAAGTTACCATGGCAAGTTGTATTGGCAAAAGAAGAAACTTGGTTTAAGCGCATTTAAAGAATATGGGTATCATATTTTATTACCTCTATCCATATAATCCAACAAGAGAGGAAAATTCTAATCTTTGCACACGCCAACAGTCATTGTGTGGACAATCAAAATGCACACAGATACATAATCCGTCAGAAATATACACAGTGATATCTGGATCAAGAGAACCATACCTACTTGTGGAACTTGGACCTGAATTGGAGAGCTCATCTGGGGGAACAACAACAGTATACTGAAATGCAATCTGTAACATGGGAAGTTCTGAGGTGTGCCTGCAGAAAACCATCTGTTACCTGATTGTGTAATTTATTTGCATAAAAATGCAGACAAGAGAAGTCAATGAAAGACTGCACAGCATTCAGGATGAACCAGAGAATCTACAGAGAAATTTCCATCCAAGAATAGAAAATATGATCCAAGCAAACTTTATATGTACTATCTCAAAGCACATAACATTCCATGACATCCGACAAAGGATTTCAACTGATTTGCTTTAAATTGGGTCTCATAGGGAGGCAAACTTGGCTTCAGGATAGAGCAACAGCATCACAAAAGGACAGTTTCAGGGAAACAAATGCATGATTTCCCAAAAACAAAAGGACTTTTAACATATGTGCAAGTTTGCCCGTCGGGAAGGGGAGATATCAATGTAGTAATTGTTGGTCTTTATTATTGCATTTTTGTCTTTCTACGAAGGAAAAAGAACCTACAAAGACAATTAAAAATTAGTTTTATAAAATATACCAAACATGGTTCAGAGTTGTTGTCTATTGTTTCATCCATCCATAAAATAATTAAGAAAGCCAATACAAAATTAAACTCGCAAGAATATTCTCATAGCCAACCATGATTAGCATGCTTGAGGAAACATTTGAAGAAAAAGGATGATGAGGAAAGTATAATTTTACCTTGAGAATCCAGTATTATTCGCAAGATCGAAGTCATAGGCATACGTGGCAAAAGAATCGCAGCAAATTATATGTTGAACATTTTCATACTGAGGATCAGGGAAAAAATGCCCATACTGTAGCAAAGAAATGTTAAACATTATTACCTAATCAAAATAATAAGCAAAAAGCCAAATAGAAGGGGTGAACACTCACGGAATGGCCAAGTTTAAATTCAGTTGACGTCCTCAGCCGTAGGACACAATTGAAAGCATATGGCCGACTTAACATACGGTACCTGTGAGAATATCATTTGGATCATTTGGCAGATGAAAAGATCAAAAATTAAGTAACCTTAGGCACATCAATTAAATCATCAAGCACATAAAATTGCAGATTAATTTTAAGGGGAAAAACAAAAACCAACTCAGAATTAATGTTCATTCTTGGACAAGGTAGTTATTACTCACATGTCCTGAGGAAGTGTTGAATCGTCAGTATTTGAATACAGAAACAAAGATCCCCCACTCTCAATACTAAGAAATTTCAGAGATGCTAAATCGGTGTACTCATTTGTCACAGCAAATATGTCCACACAAACACCAACTTGAACAGCAACAGCAGCCTGTGAAACAAATATAAATACTTAAAGCTTTTCACAGACGCATCTAAAATACTTTCAGGTTGTAACTAGGCTAAATACCAAATCTTTATAGAATGGAGTCTGCTCGGGGAGTAAAGCACGATCTGCATCCTCTCCTTTACTAGCATATTGCTCACCATACCGTCTAGTATCTAGCTGGCCGGGACCATAATCAGGAGGACCAGATAAAAAGGCAAAAACCCTGGCTGCACTTCAAATAGGTGGGAAAAACGGAAGGAAGGATTAGCAATTTTCGAGCATTATGTAAGGATGGAAAAATCAAATTTAAAGCATTATAATTATGGGGCCTGTCATTAGATTGCCATCCCAGCAAAGGTGGAACAAGAAAAAGGAAAATAAATTACAGTGAATAAAGAAATTAGAAAAATCATATACAACTTTACCATACCTAAAGCATAGGTATTCCCATATTCTGATCCGAGATAATTAACGATAGCTTCTATTGCCACTCCAAAGCCTCGCCCGCCGAGAAAAACTCCATCTAATCCTTGACCGGCATCTGTAGTTCGTTCCCATGAAGTTGTTGGTTTTAGTGTTTCAAGTGCAGATGCAATTCCATCCTTACAGGTATCAACCTATAGCCAAAATCGCTAAATATTAAGCGCTTAAGCATATTCAATCAAATATTATGACAACAAAAAGAAAACGAGGACAATTACCAAAAAATACTAAGCCTTATTCCTAATATTTTGGTGTCTACATGAATCTTTTTTCTCTACTCCATAGTGTTCATTGCCATGTCCAGAACCAATACAACAAATTCTTCTCAGTTACAATGGGACATGTTAAATTACGGGTGGGCATTTTTATCCAAAACCACCCGAAGCGGATAAGAACCAGACCAAACTAGCTGGTTCGGTTCAGTTTCAATTAAAAGTCCGGTTTTGGTTGTAGTTACAAAACCGAATTTAGACTTGGTTCCAATTTTAATTTTTAAAAAGAATCTATCAATTAAGCCGTAAGTTATATGAGTTTGCATGAATACACGTAATCAGAATAATTATCAATTTTGTTGCCTCAATCACAAACGGCAGAAGTGAAACAAGAACCAAAGGTTCCATTTTTACAATTGTTGATGGGACCAATTCGGCCCGGTTCTCAAGTAATCCAAACCGAAACACCCAGTACCCACCCTCTTGTGCTAACATTTGTCCAATTCTGCCCGTACTAAAGTCGTGTGTGCAATGTTTTAAAAGGTAGGAAAAGCGGGGTATAAACGTGAGGGAAAGGTCTCGCACATGGAGAAGGCGTCGAAAAGGCGATCAACTCTATTTAGGAACCACCTACTGCGGGCCTGCCTAGGCGGCATAACCCACACCATTTTTGTCCAATTGTTTTAATCGTTTTAAAGGTTACATAAAATAATTAAATAAAGAAATAATTAGGTTTCACCTAGGCACACCTAAGCTAATAAGGCTTGAAGCCCGACATTGCCGTCTTACCATGCCTCACACCTTTTTGAACCTTGTACTTATTAACATTCATTTCTATAGATTTTTGCAATACATGCCCCAACCAAAGCTGTTATACCTTTAATTTATCCTTGATCTATGCCACTGCACTTCTATTTTATTACCACACTTCTATTTATGACATATACATCCTTCTATTCATCCTCATTTTCGTTTACATTCATTTTAAGGACATTTTGCCCATAACCTTAAGGAGTTACTCAATTGGTCAGGCCTTGGATTTGTTCCTCAATGATCATCAGTTCGAGTCCCCTCAGGACCACTGACGTGAATGTCCGGCCGTAAACTTCAGGGACCCGTGGAATTAGTCGAGATGCGATCAAGTTGGCCCGAACATCCACGGTTATAAAAAAAAGGACATTTTGTCCATTATCAACCTAAAACTTAATATTATAAAGAATAGCAGATCCGATAATTGTAATGTAGAAATAATGTTTAACTTTGCAAGGTCCCTCCTATCACACAAAACTCATGTAATACTTCTCCATTTCATTCAACCAACTCTAGTCTCATGCATTACATCCTCTTGAAATCCTTTTGTTAGCAATTAAACCTAATTACCTGCATCTAGCAATTATTTAAACAACACAATCATCCATAGCGACTCCAATATTATTCTCGTTCCTACCTTACTAACATGATATTCCATGTATTTCGTTTGAATTTTACTAAACCTAAAACCTTCATATTTCTAAGTACTCCAAAGTTCGAACATATGATTTAACACTCTCCAAGTCTTAAGCACTCGAGCCAACTTCATCCATCATGATGAAGAAAAGAAGATTTGGAAAAAAAAAACCATATTTTTTAACTAGATAGTTTTATTATTCATAAAATAAGAATACACATTCAATAAATACACTCCAAAATAAGACTGACTAATGACAAAACTACCCTTATTACATGAGATGATAAAAAAAAACCATATTTTTTAACTAGATAGTTTTATTATTCATAAAATAAGTCTACTAAACCCATAACTAAAGGGATAAGGACTTAATACAAAATCTTGAAGCAAGCCAATATATAAAAATGTTTTCTACATTACTGCCACTATATCTTATACTCTTAACTGCATCAAGTTACATATCCTTAACAATATTTTTAATCTAATATGAATTATTTTTCTCTCCAGTACCACCAATAGAACTTTCACAAGCATCTTATGATAGGCTTTTTAAATTATAAAAAGCTCAAATGCATATGTTGTTTCTATTATCTATACTTCTTCATCAATTTCCTAGGCAAGAATATGGGTCTCACAGTAGCTATCCCTGGCATATAGCTGAATTGATTCCCTAATTTCTTTGTATTATACCTAATCTACTTTGAGTCTCCATCTCACACAACTTCATAGAATAACTCATGAGCTTAATGCCTCCATATTTAGTACAATCTTAATTATCTCCTCTATTCTTATAAGTAGGCACCACAAGAGTCTATCGCCATTCATCAGGAAATAACCAATTAAAGCCTTCGGCTGAAATCAATGAGAGCAAAGGCAGATGAGAAACAACTTCAGCAGAATTGAAGTAAACAACATACTGGAGCAAGAAAAGAAAACAATGGCATGACATCTTCAAGATCCATTGCCAGGTTTCCATCAGAATCAGGGGGGGTGAACACATTTTTTACCACTGGAATGGCCCCCTGAACATCATACAAGCCTATTTTGTGACTGAATGTGGCGATACCAAAAAGTGATCCAGGCCCAAGAGCTGTACAAAACCAGAGAAGTGCAAGATTACACGTCCTCCCATAAACAAGAACTTGAGTGCAAAAATCATAAATGACAAACCTTCCAGGGCAGCTAAAAGAGCACTTTTAGTCAGTTCCAGAAACTCTTCTGATGCTGTAGAATTAGACAAGGTCAGTAATCCTTGTAATGCATTAAAGAAAACGCATAGCCAGAAAGAGGATGACAATAATATGGAGCAATTTATAACCTCAAACATATATGTAGAAAAATATTGATGGTGCAGACACACGATTGAGTTCATTTTGCAAGTTAATCTGAACCTCATATAACAATCATTAATAGCCATTGAAGTGATATACAATCTCTAGAGAACTTATATATTCTGGTTTCTTCGGTTTCTCAAAAAGAGTGTTGAACACCTGAAATGTGTAGTTTACTAACTGAGCAAAACGGGATCCGCATCAACTCACTTATTATCCTAGCATTGGATAATTCCAATTCTCAATATTCAATACCCATTTTACCCAATCGATCCCAGAAATGAAAGAAAGAAAAAGGCATTTACGTACTAATAAAATAGCAATCAACAAAAAACACACTGATTAAATTTTACCATAGAGTTGAGCAAAACTTACACGAAATATCAACCATTGCAACATACACTGGCCTCGGCTGCATTTCCTCAGATCCTTCCACTGCCACCACAAGAACAATCAAAAAATCAAATACAAACAGACAGCATATGCTCATATGCATGGGGATGCAGCGAGATATGAGATTTACAAATACTGCTCATGTACAAAGTAAAACACGTGAGCAGAACCATATGCTTGAATCCTGCACCAACAAAATAGTATCATAGAATTTCTTGTATCTCCAAGAACAATTCGCTATCACAAATTATGTTGTACATAGGATCAAGTTCACAATTCCTGCGTACAAATATTCTCAGACAAGGGAAATGATAATGCTAATTCATTATGCCCCCATGAGAGCGATTTTATCTCATATTACAATATGATATATCATCCTCTGGTGAGGATAAGCATCATGAATTATGAAATTTACATTAATAATCAAGTTCACTGCATTAGTACTAGTCGAACATTTTTTCCCTGGCCAGATGGCATCATAAACTACCCTAACTCGACAAAAATGAGCGATCAGGGTTAACTGGTGAGAATTGTGAGGGCATCTCGAGGTCTTTAAAAGATGATAAAATAGAGATCCCTTAGTAAATACATGTTTTCCTGGGAAAAAAATTATATCATAAATGAGAGGTAAAATTCTTACACCACACAACACCAGCACATATCTCAGCAGCTTACTTCTGTTCGGAACATAAACATCATAATTATGGTACTGCAAATTGATAGAATAATGCCAATGCAATTTATAAAACCACTGAAGCACATAGTACAACACAAGTATATTGCCTGGCACCAGAATTCACGAATTGTACTTGAAAAATATTAAAGTAAATGGGTGTAATTAGAGCTTCAAAGGCAATTACACGGCAATTCAAGGTCGATGAATGAAGACAAAGTTTCCGGGCATGAATCGGGGAGGGAGTGTCTGGCAATTGAGTGAGACGAAAGCCCATTGAGGGTGCCGCAGAGGGCACAGATCCATGCCCACTGCTCCTGGTCACAATACGTATTGTAATAGGCCCAACAATTCTCGCACCGAGGCAACAAATGCCCGTCCGATCCGTACACCGGCGGGCTGCCGTTCTCGTCCTTGGTGGCAAATGGAGTCAATGTTACTCCCCACGGCAAGCCGCAGGTCTCCTGGGCATCCGGGTCGCCCGGGAACCTTGTCATAGTCGCCCGAACCGCCATTCTGGATCCGAATCCGAACGGCTTGTATTCGGAACTGTGTGCGTGCGTGTGTGCGCGTGAAATGGGAAATTCAGGATTTATGAATGGGAAGAGTTGAAAAGTAAGATATTAACTAGTTCAATAATCAGGTTTTCAGTTTGATTAATGCAAAAATCGGGTTTTTAATTAATTAATTAAAATAATTTATTAATTAAATATAATAATATCATAGTTATATAATTAATGGTTACACATACATAATTATAGGTCACAGGTCACATATTTTAAAATTAATTAATCACAGATTATTTCGAGGTCAAAGATTAAAAATTTTGTACGTCACAGATTTTTTCGAGATCACAGATTTTTAAATTAGTCACATTATTTCCAAGGTCATAGATTTCTAAATTAGTTGGTCACAAATTATTTTTGAATCACATTTATTAAATTTTTAGATCACAATTGACTAATTAATCACAAAATACCAAACATTTGATCACAGATTACCAAATATTTGATCACAAACTACCGCCACTACCACTATAACCACTTTCGACCACCATCACCACGCCACCGCCACAACAACACAAACAAAGTCACTGACAACCACCTCCTCCACCAATCATTTGTACTGACAACCACCTCCACCACCAATCATTTGTAGACTACCTATTTTATAGGTCACAAATGGGAAACATTCCAATAGAAACGCACCCCACAGCCCATATAGTCGTTACCATCGCCACCGCAAACAAACCGCATCGTCGACGCCTCCACCTGCAAAATCAACTATACCCAACCCACAATCTCACCAACATAACCACCATCCCCACCGCCTATACGACCACAGCCACCAGACCACAATCATAGTCAAAAACCCCCCGCCAAACACACCCAACAATGCACCATCCCCACAACCTCACCAAAATCACCGTCGATCTGCCATAACCAGCAACACCATCTACCTGCACAACCAACAAAAAATACCTAAAAACTCCTCAACACCACCAAACCACCACCACAACTCCACTCCACCACTGCACACACACCACCGAACCCATCATCACCGAGACGGAAACGAGAAGGCTATGGTGGCGTCTTGAGCGTCGAACCCACCATTGCCGCAAGTAGATCTCACCACCGCATCACCTAATTACCGGATGCTCTGATCACCTTTGCAACCACCACTGTCGATTAGGTACGGAGAATCGTCGCCGCCGCCGATCTGTACAGAGCCGCATCCAGCGATCTCCGATCTCCTCTTCATTATAGCTTCTTCGTGCCTGAGTGTGTTCGACTATGGATTGTTGATTAGGGTGGTGGTCCAAGGTATGAGGTGGTCCACGGTGGGTAGAGAGAGAGAACGAGAGATAGATTGAAGATGTGAAGAAAAATGGTCGTTTGTGGGTAGAGAGAGAGAGAGAGATATGAAGAGAATTTGAAGGAAAATGATTAGGATTTGTAGATACCCGAGTTTTGAATAAATAAACTCTACACCTTATTTTTGAAAATCAAATTTTTAAACATCTGATTTGTGTAATTTGCCCTTTATGAATTTATCAATGTGGGCTTTGATATGGGTCAATTGGGGTTTGGGGAAGATGAGTTAAGGTCAAGGCATCGCAGGCGTAGTTTAGTGTGGTATAGGTGTATAGAGACGGTAGGTGACGCAGTAATATGCCTGTTACACATGGCTTCACCAATGAATGTTCGCCACCTCAGCATTGGTTTTATTGAACTAACTGTGCACCAAAACAATAGGTTGGGGGTTTAATTGTCAAGAAACAAATATTAGGAACTGATACAACAATTTGGTCATAGACTAGGGATCAATTATGAAAGATATTTTCCAGAAAAAGATGGAAAAATCCCTATTTGCCACTCTAACTTCAGTTCTCCTCCAATGGAGACACACCACCTGTTACCTCTCACTCGCCACCGCTGCCTCCTTTCAACACCGCCTCAGTTGATCGCCTCCAGAGAGGTCCAGAATCACAACCCTCTTGTTCAAGTTATTACAATTTGGACTTAAATTGCTTTGAGCAGCGGCGGCCCGTGCACCGGAATCACTTTCATTCAGAATTTTTTTGTAACTGGCGTGCTTTGAGATTTCCCAGAGATTTTATGTAAATGCATTCATTTGGTGGATTTTGTCCCGGTTTCACTGAGAGCCACATGAAATGGGATCGAGAAAGGTACATAAAGTAATTAATGCAGTAACTGTAATTTATCTTTTATCTTCTTCAATAAACGGGATAAAAATTGTGAAGTCCAGCTATGTAGGAGGTCCCTGCTGTTTGAATTTTGATGTCTGCCTATAAAATTCATTGAACCCCTCTTGATTCAATGAGTTGAAGAGTGTTCAACCGAGTTTGGTTAGGAAAGAAGAGTACTCTCGTTCATCCCATCTGTATAGGTTGCGTTTCTTGCTTAATTGTGCATGAATTGAGATTTGAGATCATATTTCCACTGAAACTTTTAAATATACTTGGTTGCAAATTAATGCTTTGTTAGGGGGTTAAAGAAAATGGTGTGTTAATAATTTGTAATGCAATTGAAATATAGGTTTTGCGTTCTATACAAAAGGATAGCCAGTATTCTGATTTAATTTTCTGTTGGATGAACTTTCAAATCAAGTTTTCGATATGTTTTGAACCAGAATTGGAGAAAAATATTTTTTGGAAAATGAATTGGAAAGTATTGTGGCTATATAAAAACGATAAACTTTTACGTTTCTTAGGACATTCTTACAAAAATAACATTGGGATGCCAGCAAGTGAATTTATTATTGATTTTTGAGAATCAAGTCCAACCCCACCAGTTTTCTTCCACGCCAAAGAATGTGAAAACAATTATCTTCATGTAGACTTTTTGCCTACTCAAATTCGTATTTACTAGTAAAAAGAATGTGAAAACAATTATCTTCAAGTAAGCTTTATTAGTTTGCTTTATTCTGTTGCTTTCAGGTTACTTGTGGATCCACTTGCCTGCCAGATTTCTGAGAGGACCGCAAAGATCACTTTTTTGTGTTATCCGAGGTTCCTATATATGGAAAAGAAAACATCATGAAATGTTAGTATCCAGGCAAGAAATTGCCAAGCCTATTTGTTCAGACTTTGCCATAGATTAACAAGTCATAAATTACCATTGCCTCTAAAAGGTTAGAAGAAATGCACCCAAATATGCTTTCTGCCTTTTACAGGACTCCTTCAAATTTAAATATTTGTCGTCCTGTTTTCCTGTCGAAACCGCATATTATTTTCCATTCCTGCTGCTCAGTACCCGTTAATCATCAAGAACAACAGAAACTAGATCAAAAAGGTCGACAAGAAGTCCAACAACTGAAGGAGAAACAGGAACCTTCAATTATCTCTTCAGCTCGAATTAGAAAGTTGATTGCTGCACAATCAGACCCACTCCTTGCCAAAGAAATCCTTGACTTGACTTCTCATCAACCAAATTTTTGCCACTCATATGCTAAAATCCACATACTCATTCTTAAACTCGGCTGATTTTGCCACTTCTCTCTCATGCAGTCAATCCTTTCCAGCCTCAAGTCCCATCAACATGCTGTCTCCCCATCCATGTTTTCTGACATCATTCAATTCTATGACAATGCAGGACTGCCTGAGGAAGCACTTAAAAACTTTTTATAAAATTCTTGAATTCAACATAAAGCCTCTTGTGAAACACCTCAGCTGCATTCTTGAAATCCTCGTTGCTTATCGTAACTTCCTCCAGGCTGCATTCGATCTTTTCTGGTCCGCTCATAAATACGGGTCTCCCCCAACACGGAGTCTTACAACATTTTAATGCAAGCTTTCTGTTTGAATGGTGATTTAAGCATATCGTACACATTGTTTAATCAAATGTTTAAGGGGACATTGTTCCTGATGTGGAAGAATATAGAATTCTAATGCAGGGCTTGTGTAGGAAGAGTCAGGTGAGCTGTTGATCTTTAGGATATGTTGAATAAAGGATTTGTACCAGACACACTAAGCTATACGACTCTGTTGAATAGCTTGTGTAGGAAAAATAAGCATAGGGAGGCTTACTAGCTTCTTTGTAGGATGAAAGTAAAGGGATGCAATCCTGATATCGTTCATTACAATACAGTCATTTTGGGCCGTGCTAGTGATGCCTGTAAGGTTCTTGAAGATATGCCCTCAAATGGGTGCTTGCCAATTTTGGTGTCATATCGGACTGTAGTCCTGGGGTGTTGTGCAGTCAGGGCAGGTATCATGAGGCAAAAAGTTACATCAAGCTCATGATGTGGGTTTTCTCCTCATTTTTCTGTTATTCATCTACTTATCAAAGGTTTTTGTAACATGGGTGAAATTGAGGATGCTAGTGAAGTGTTACGTGAGATGTTGAGGCATGGCGGAAATCCACACATCGAATCTTGGGCTGAAATTATACCAAAGATTTGTGCTGTAGATGACACAGAGATAATAAGGGATATCCTAAAAGAGGTATTGAAGGTGGAGATAAAGCCTGACACCAGAATAGTTGAGATTGGTGCTGGCTTGGAGGAATATTTGATAAAAATGACACAAATTAGATCAAGAATACATTGATTGAACCTGTGAAATGGCTACATTTATCAGATCTAGCAACTTGAACCTCAGTCAAGCACGGAATGCATCTTAGGTGTTATCAAACACTTCAATAATGCTCAGCTTCTTTCACATTTCAATCCATTAGTCTTCCATACCGGTTAAGGTTGAGTTGTGAAGTGATGAATTGTTCTCTGGTTACCGAACACTGATAGTGGTGGTAACGCTCCTGGCAAAGATGTTAGAGACGTGAGTTTAATGCTTTTCAATTTCCAAACTGGAAGTGGATTCATTATCCCTTGACGAAGATCAGCTATAAAAGTAGATATTCCACCAGCAAAGCCTGGAATGCAGCGGAACATAAAGTGCCTGTTTGGTAGCAAGATTGGATAATAATATAAAGGTCAGAAGTCTTTATACCGTCCACTAGTGCACCCATCTGATAGCTAGGGCCACGAAAGTGCTAAAGAACTTCGAGTAATACCAGATAAACATCAAGGAGGATTGGCAATGGAAGTGGCCGTAGCTTCAACAAGGGAGGCACCTCAATAATGGTGCATAACTGGCTGGTCTGGTCTGAACTCAGGCACGGTCTGCCATCTGCTGCTAGGCCCAGGAATGGACCCAGGCGACAGTGTGACTGTGCCCCCTAACGAATTGAATGGTCAACTTTTTCCTTGTGAGCTTATATGTTTTTGTTCTTTCTTTAGTTTTGTTGGCTACCATGACCTTGTAAACTAAAAACATTTCTTGTTGGTCCAATTTCTTCTTTCCTTGTTATTTTACTGACGTCTTCTGCTCTCATATTAACCCCACTTACCATCGTATCCGAGGAAACTTTTGTCAAACTAACTTATAAGCAAAGCCAAACAATCTACTTGTACATTTCAAAATCAATCAAAATTACACATGAAACATAACCGAGGTTTTTTGCATTTTGTTGCGTTAAACCATCTATATATGTACTTACTACGTTATGTTACATTTTCCAAAAACGTCGAGTTGTTCAGTAGTTTTACCAGTTGGCCCAAAATATCCGTGACTAATCGAGCTTCTAGCAAGTATAAATCTACAAGTGCCAGTACAAACACTCTCTCTCATAGTGTAAGCATAAAACTAAACTTGCAATTCATGGATGAATTCTCAGCACAAAATCACCACCATAGGATGAGGAATTTCAGCATTAACCAGACAGCCACAAGATAGTTACAGGTACATCCAAGTCGACTATATAGAGGTAAACCGACATGGGTAAGACTATTCAGAAAAAGACTATAAGCCAACATAATTTCTCAATACATGCTTAAAACTTCATCCCCTAACTTGAGCATCTGAGGAACTACAACGAGCATTTTGCCCAATGCTTGTTGGTGTTGCAGTCTACCTATTCTGCACTGCTTTCATCTTCATCTTCTTCACTTCCACTTCCATTTGTTGCAGGTGGCTCTTTCATTTTACCTTTTTTGCTCGTCTCCTTTGCCTTCAAGGACTCAGACTTCCTTTTAGCATTCTTTTGCCTAAATTCTATAATCAAATAATGATAATAAAAGTAAAAAGGGGAAAATTAAAAAACCGAAAGGAAAAAATAATAAAGAAATAAAAAATGCACTCATTCTTGCAAATTTACATTCAAGATCTGAATATTTGAACTCAGGTTCAACTTTTGTTGAAGGATCCTTCCAGATATAAAGGAAGAATTTTGGAAATAAAACTTCTATCAACAGACGCAATAATCTATTGACAACTATCTATTATAAACGATAACAATAATTCCAGGCAGCTCAGGGTTAGCCTCGATCACTAAAAAACCAACAATAACGACGACAAACTAAGCCTTTTCTCCACAAATTTAAGGTCGGCTAAATGTATCATTTTCCACCACTCCATTAATGCTAGATCTACAGGAAGTCTCCAATCTCCATACCAGAAATAAACCAACAACAACAACGATCTAAGCCTTTTTCCTAATAAATAAGGGATGCCTACATGAACCTTTATAGAAAGACTCCATCACCAGAAAACCACCACAACAAAAATAAGAAATTAGGCTCAGCTATTCACTGGCTGCAAGAGATGGTTGTCCATCTCCAGTATGTAGAGGGAATTGGAAAAAGAAGCTTTCACCCAAATGACTCAAGGTTCCTCGGAACCATCTCATTTGGTCAGTGATTTACCTTGATCTTACGTTTTTATTAGTCGATAAAGAAAACTCAAGTGCAGTTGAAGTGTATGGTAAGGCTGCTCCAAAGCTCATTTATAGTGAATTAACTTGAACAGCAAAAGTTAGATGATATCTGCAGCAATTGAGAAAGTAGCAACTAGCACGAGCTCTGCAATCTAGATTGCCAAAATCCAATATCCAAAAGCATCACTAACTAAAGCTCTAACCCGAGCATGTCATTAGAAACATCAGATAAATATCAAAAAAGTTAATATAGAAAAATATTGACCTTCAAGAGAAGTTCTCAGCGGGGCAACAAACTCCGCAAATTCTATCTCTTCCAATGCCTTGAATACATCTTCTGCGTTGATTATTTGCCTCTTTGACTCCTTACATACGTCGTTGGCTCTGAATCAAGTCGTGAATAAACACCATTAATCAAACTGTTATATCCCAACATTGTTAAAACAGTTCAAGAAAATAAATGAATACATTTGTTAAAATATTTTCTCTCGTGTGAAGGAATTAATTAGACCTCAAAATACCAAATGCGGGAAGGCATAGAAGATCTTACCTTCAAAATAAGGAACTTTCTCCAATAGAATAATTATCACACTTTTTTACTTAAAAGTAAATTTACTTAAAATGTAAAACTTTTTACACTTTGCATGTTCAACCTCGTTTAAATGCTTCATTTTGGCTTTTTCCGGTATGGCAGTAGCCCGTATGAAGAATCATGCTGCTTCCTTTTTAGCATTTAAGCCAGACCAAATATGCTATTTATAACACGATTGCCCCTTTAAAGTATTTTTAAGCTTAGCCAAACATGCCATAATAGGAAATCTATTGCAGAGAAAAAATAAATTCCAGAAATTAAATCCGAAAATTGATTAATTCCAAGCATTCTATGGCTCTAGTTAATCCCACTAAAATTTACTAAAAAAAAAAATAATTACCCATCAAAAAATAAATATGTAATGGAAATGCTTATAAGCGTGCTTACGTAGCGGAGAGGAAATGGATGAAAATTCGTGCGCTTTCACAGAAGCCCCGAAGGGACTCGCGGAGAACGGTGACTTCGGAATCCTTAGAGAGCTGTGATAGCTTATCCTTCACTACCCGGCGCACGATAGTCTTTGGCAGTTCATCGGCTTCCGATACCACTTTCTCTGTCACCGCGTTATCTTTCTCTTTCTCTTTCTCCGACATCTCTGTCTGTCTTCAGCGGCGCACGATGCTAAATTGTACTGGGTGCGTCAAGTTGGGGGAAAGGGTAAAGCGGGCTCCAGTTTTGGGCTTAAAATTGTTGGGCTACTCTATTTTTAAACGGGAAGAATACATAACTATATACTATAAAAACACATTTCACAATTGACGAACTCCCTAAAAACTTTCATAAATCAGGTGGTAAATCAAAAATATTAAATATATAATTATAATATAATATACACTAAATTTGGGTTAAAATATAGTGATCTCCTACAAATCAATTATATACCATATTTAAAAGATATTTCTCACTTTCCTCCCACAATCAAACAAGATTTTCTTTCTCTACACAACAAGCTCCCTGAAAACTCTCCAAAATCACCAAAATTTCACTGTTATCCCTCGATTTCGAGTTACAATCAATCAATAAAGTCACAATCCCATCGACATACTTCTGATTTTCAATGTTCTGGAGAAGTTGAAAAGTTGAAGCTTGGATATGGAGAAATTGGATTTTTCCAAAGTAAAAATTGAAGTTATGTGTTCGTGAAAACTCTCCAAAATCACAGAAATTTCACCGTTAATCTTCGATTTTGAGCTACAATCAATAAATGAAGTCACAATCTCGTCAACATGCACTTGATTTCCATTGTTCTGGAGAAGTTGAAGCTCGGCTATGGAAGAATTGGAATTTTCCGAAGCAAAAATTGAAGTTCTATAATCTAATTTCAAAAGTAAGCTTATAATAATTTAGTTTGTCGTGATGTATAGGAAGGTTTATGTTGTGATGTATATGAACATATTCAGTTTATCATTTCAGGTTTTTGACAGGTTCAGTTAGGCTATGGATTTTCTGATTTTTTTGACCATCTGTAACCGTTTTTGTATAATGTGACCTATTAATATCAATGAATTAAGAATACAAGTTACAGGTTTACAAACAAATCGGATCTGCTGGTGAAAATTTTGAAGATGATTTAATTATTATGTTTAAACACTCACTCACTATTACCTATTTTAGTAAGCTCTATTTTTATATTAACAGTGAGTTATGTAAAATATTAAAACCATCAGGGTAATTTATAAGGCACTATAGTTTGTGACTAATTGTGATTGTTTGTGGCCTGTGCATTTTAATATGAATATAACTATGTCTGAATGTGACCAATTGTGACCTGATTCTAATTGTCAGAGCCTGTTCACACATGTACAATATATATTTTGTTTACCAACATACATAAAGTACTATAATGAATATAAACTCTAAATACAAATATTCATCCACTATACAAATAAGTTTCGATGGTTTCTGCGTTGATTTTTTTTTTTTTTTGGTTATTAACGACATTCCGACGGTCGTGAGAATCTCCGGTGAGTGGTTGTTGAAACTATGTACTTTTCTCTTCAATTATCATGTTCTTTTCTCAATGCCATTATTTTGTTGATTTTCGTACTATGTCGTAAAAACAAAGTCTCCAAAAATCAATTGTGATAAATCTCATCCACGATTACGTTTAATACATCGAAATTTATCAACGCCTTTCTTTTGTCTCCATTTCTGTTATTGAAAATGAACTAAACTCCATTGGAAATGGTCGCTGAGGAAGAATGCGTCTTGGCGTTAAGAATGTTGAGGAGAAATGTATGTACATATTATGATATCAATTCAGTTGCAAAGTGCGACAAAATAATGATGGTGAAAGAGATTATACAAGTTTTGTTATCGTTTGTAACCAAAATTATGTAAACAATTTTATTTGTGGCCAGGTCTATCTTTAGTGTGATTGTCTATGACTTGTTTATCTTAATTTTGATTGTATGTCACCATATTTTTTTTAAATGTGATAGTCTGTGATAAGATCTTTCTTAAATATAACTATCCGTGACCTGATTTGACTATATGTGAACAATGTCGTTTTGAATGCGATCCCCCACCCTACCCCACCTTCCAAAAAAATTCCAAAAACTAAAAATTGGAAATTACCCCAATCCATGGATCCACCTACCTCACCCATACCTTGCAAAAAAATTTCAAAAATTAAAAATATCAAGTAACGACTTGTCATCTGTGACTAATTGTGACCATATTTGTATTCAGTGTGACCGTTTGTGACCAAGTCAATCTTAATTGTGACTGTATGTGATCAAGTCACAACCAGTCACAATTAACACAGATTTGATCACAACGAGTCATAATCGGTCACAATTAACACATAATTGATCACAACCAGTCACATCCTATTCTTTCTTCATTCCAAATGCTGCTTGCAGCAGTGGATCCATTATCAATAAACCTTAAAAATTTTCTGCAAACTAAAACCAGAAAAGAAGAATGATAAGAAAATGGGAAACAAGTCCACCACCATCACTTCCACATCTACCTCCACCTTAAATTCATCACACCTTCCACATTCGATTCCAAATTGGAAGGCACGGCAGGATCATAAAGCCTACAATTCTGCTTTGCCATGGGGATGAATTTTTTCGGTTCCGTCCTGTCCTCATTTGTATGTACCTGTATAACAACGTACAATCAGCAATCATGAAATAGATTGGCCTTTCACACAACAAGACCAAAAGAAATTATACTTTTGCAACCGAGATGAGATAAATGAACATACTCTTCCAACTATTACTATACTTAAGATATTATTTAGTTCCAATTTATTTATCTCCTACAAAACAAGATGCACTAAATGAAATAAAGATTTCATGATTGGAAACTACTATAGGACCAACAAAAAAGGAACTAATCTAGAGGCTGAAACAAAATTACCATTAAATGCTACAAAAATTAACCAATATTTTTTCCTTGTTTCCTTTTTCCCCTTTTCTGGTGTATCTGTACTAACTACCACCACAAAATTATCTACACGTGCTAAAAAAATTCACCTTAGAACAAGGCGATTCTAATTTCTTTTTCAATTTCAAATTGGAAGGCAAATCCTAATCATAAAGTTTGCAATTCTGGTTTGCCAAGAGGACGAATTCTTTCGGTTCCATCTTGTCCACAATTGTATGTACCTGTATAAACACGTAGAATCAACAATCATGAAATAGATTGGTCCTTCACACAAGAATACTAAAACGAATTATATTCTGACAATAGAGGAGTTTCTGAACAAACCCTTTTAACTTCTACTATATTTAATTAAGATATTATTTAGTTCTAATTTTTCTTTCTCCAATGAAATAAGCTTCACTTAATGAAATAAAGAATTCAAATCTGTACGTCGGTAACTATAGGCCCAGCCAACCC